CATGTTGCTTTACATAAGGGCATTCATCCAAATTCTCGTATTCATTGCCATGGTAGAGGATGCGATCATTAGGACATGCATGTATCTTACGGATTTTTAATTCCAAAAGGCAGACAACCTTTTTTGCTTCGTACGTAGTGGTGGGAATTCATTTGGCTTCGGAAGCATCTTCTTTATGAGGTTCAATAAATTTCCAAATGTGAATGAAGACTCATTGAGCTTAAATATTCCTTTAAATTCTTACATATGGCACATGGACAGCACATGAAACCATCACGCTTATTTGCCTCGGCCACACCTAAGAAATAATGCATGCCCTCAATAAAGTCTTGGGAGCGGCGATCGGTATTGTACATCCAATGGCGTGACATAATCTGCATTACACGACAAACTATGAAAACCTTGAACATAATTAAGTATTTTATTACACAACATAGATGACACACACACACGGTTGATTAATTAACTAAGCCTGGCTACAACGTAAGCAATCCCAACTATCACTAAACAAACTAAAACTACAATGCACTTGATAATATAATTATTTCGTGACCAGACATAACTAAAACAGACAAATCATTCGTCTGTTGAATATCAATAAGCTTCTCCTGCTGGCTCACTGCCTCATCATCACCAGCCGCTACCTCAAGCGCACCCGAATTCTGCACGTATGTAGCATAATCTTCCTCCCAGTACCAACCATCGCATCCATTGCCCTCCCACTGAAATTAAAGCCAAAAAATATTTAGTCAAAAATATTCAAGAAAAGCAGGTCAATTAGCCATGATAATCAAATGCGTAAGAAACTCACATCGCGATCCGGACACTTGTAGAAAACACGACCCTTGTTGGGTCCCTGTCTCTTAACTCGGTACTCCATCACAATCTTCTGGTTACACTTGCCGCAGATAATGAGAGAGAGTTCTGGCCTCAGTCGTTTCGCAACCGAACGAGAGGCCGAGGATCCGGTACCAGTTGTCATCTACTTTCTATACTTATTTTTGCAAACTAGTGTAAATTTCACATTTTCTAAAATAATATATTTAAACAAAACTAAAATTATTTATTTATCTAACTAAACCATAAAATATGTACTATGTATAATAGTAAAATACCAAACTATCAAGTGATTTTACTATTGTAAATCATCATGTGATTTTGAGCTAAAAATGACATAGAAATCACATAGCTCAAAAACATGTTTCAATAAATAACCATCTGTACTAGTTGACATTGCTTACGTGATCATCTCGGCGAGCATTTCTCCACCGGAAGGCACCGTACTTGGCCAAGGAAGAGCTCCGATTCTACGAGGAAGGGAACACGGTCTTCCACGACCGTTGCCGCTCTCCCTCGTAGAATCAAAGCTCCTCCTTGACGTCCATTACCGCTCGGCAGAGAACATGCTCGCTGAGATGAACACGGTCTGCAAGTTCAACTAGTACGGATTTTCTATAATTTTCTAACTATTTTCTAAGTTTTTCATTTCATGAAAAATTTAGTTCTAAAAAATAAAAGGCGTCATTTCATGGCGCGTGCTCCAGCGAGGACGAGCGAGGCGTGATTTTGATGAACTAATTTAACTTTTGTTTATCCAAACATATATGCAAATCATCATGTGATTTTGAGCTAAAAATAACATAAAATCATAATAAAGTCCAACATATAAAGTTACACATGCATCTACATCACAAAATGAGATAAGCTACTGATAAAACATAAGAGGATTAAGTTTGTTACCTCCAAAATCGAAGAGCAACACCAATGAAGGGGGAGAGAGCAAGAACAACAGCAAGCTGAAGAACAGAGGCAATGAGTTTGAATGGAATGGCTCGGGCTCGGGGAGGAAGAAATGAGCTGGTCTATAGGCCGGGATAATTAGTCCCGGTTAGGGGGCCAAACCGGGACTAAAGATTAATCTTTATTCCCGAGGCATCACCCAAACCGGGACTAAAAGCTTTAGTCCCAGCTGCTATTACCAACCGGGACTAAAGGTTACCTTTAGTCCCGGTTGGTAATACCAGCCGGGACTAAAGATCCCTGCCCCGCGGATGACCGTTGGGCAGGAACCTTTAGTCCCAGGGGCAGAAAATGCCGAGGCTAATACTAAATTGGGACATCGTTCTAAAGTCTCTAGTAGTGAGAGTCGGGAGAGAGAAGGGGTACGAGTTAGGGTAAGTTGGACCGGTAAATCCTAAGATTAACAAAATCACTATAAGCACCTCACTATTGATGGGTACTTGACCTACCACTAAAAGAATGGCACTATTATATCTTAGAATAAGTCTAGAAAAACGTGAGCACTCATATAAATCAAGGAAAATATAAGCAACCCGTGTCAAGTCGAGCACTTAAACTTAGGTGGACAACATGCATCAAAGTTGTTCATGCGCGGCACTCATTTTGATTGCATCCTAAGCCCATGTATAAGGTCGCATTTGTGTCTCTTTAAAGAACGGTAACAAGTTCTTTTAGTTTCAAGGAACAAATGAGATGTAAATACAACAGTGCCAGGTTTGAAGATTTCCGTAATCTATCTCATATAAAAAATTGTTGTATCAAATTCATACAAACACTACCGGACTCAGTGAATTTGCCGAGTGCCAGGGGCACTCGGCAAAGCCCAATTTGCACTCGGCAAAGGCTTTGCCGAGTGCTGCACTCGGCAAAGAGCACTCGGCAAAAAAAGAGTCGGCAAAGACGTCTTTGCCGAGTGTCTTTTATCGGGCACTCGGCAAAGCCTTTGCCAAGTGCCGACACTCGGCAAAGTTAGAACCGAAAAAAAACCCGAAAAAATGGGAATTTTTACCCAAAAAAAATGGAATTTTTTTTTAATTGGTGGAGGCCCCCACCGGTCAGCGCCCATCCATCTCCGGCTTTTTTCGCGTAAGTTTCACGGCTACGCGGCCGACGGGATTCGAACCCAAGACCTCTCGCTGCGCACAAACATCCTCTACCACTACACCACACTGTCACTTATGTCTAGATTCCGTTTTAGTTCCCAATATATTATGCTAAACCGAGTGTAAATTGCTTATTTGAGGTCCTAAATGAATTCAAATCAAAAAGTGGTCAACTACAAAGTTTCATAACTTTTTGAGATCTACAATTTTCATTTAGTAAGTTTTTCCATCCGAGGTCGTTTGAAAAATTTGAATTTTAAATTTGAGAGATTCAAACGTAGTTTTGCATGATAAGATGATTTCAAATCAAAAAGTTATCAACTACATAGTTTCATAACTTTTGGAGATCTACAATTTTCATTTAGGAAGTTTTTTCATCCGAGGTCGTTTGAAAAATTCAAATTTTCAAATTCAAACGTCGTTTTTGCATGAAAAATGATTTCAAATCAAAATGTTGCCAACTACAAAATTTCATAACTTCTCAAGATCTACAAAGTTTATTTTGGTCATTTGTTCATCCGACATAGTGGTAGTAACATTGTTCACAAATCATATATATCTCTCTTCTATTTTCATGAAATTAATATGAGAGATGTATATTTTATGAACAACGTTATTGTCGCTTTGTCAAATAAAGAAATGACCAAAATAAATTTTGTAGATCTTGAGAAGTTATACAACTTTGTAGTTGAAAAGTTTTTCATTTGAATTCATTTAGGGCCTCAAAAATTGATTCGAAAAACTGATTTGCCGAGGGCCAAAAAAATACACACAGCAAAATACCTCTTTGCCGAGTGCCAAAACATAGGCACTCGGCAAAATACGGCTTTGCCGAGTGCTAGAAAAAAAGCACTCGGCAAACTGAGAGTAAATTGCTTGTTTGAGGCCCTAAATGAATTCAAATAAAAAAGTAGTCAACTACAAAGTTTCATAACTTTTTGAGATCTACAATTTTCATTTAGTAAGTTTTTCCATCCGAGGTCGTTTGAAAATTTTGAATTTTAAATTTGAGAGATTCAAACATAGTTTTGCATGATAAGATGATTTCAAATCAAAAAGTTGTCAACTACATAGTTTCATAACTTTTGGGGATCTACAATTTTCATTTAGGAAGTTTTTTCATCCGAGGTCGTTTGAAAAATTTAAATTTTAAAATTTTCAAATTCAAACGTCGTTTTTGCTTGACAAGATGATTTCAAATCAAAATGTTGCCAACTACAAAATTTCATAACTTATCAAGATCTACAAAGTTTATTTTGGTCATTTGTTCATCCGACATAGTGGTAGTAACATTGTTCATAAATCTTATATATGTATCTTCTACTTTCATGAAACTAATATGAGAGATGAGAGATGTAGATTTTATGAACAACGTTATTGTCGCTTTGTCAAATGAAGAAATGGTCAAAATAAACTTTGTAGATCTTGAGAAGTTATACAACTTTGTAGTTGAAAAGTTTTTCATTTGAATTCATTTAGGGCCTCAAAAATTGCTTCGAAAAACTGATTTGCCGAGGGCAAAAAAAATGCACACGACAAAAAGATTCTTTGCCGAGTGCCAAAACAAAGGCACTCGGCAAAATACATCTTTGCCGAGTGCCAGAAAAAAACACTCGGCAAAGACGTATTTTGCCGTCTGTTTTTGTTTGCCGAGTGTATTTTATTTGGCACTCGGCAAACACGGTCTTTGCCGAGTGTCCGATAAAATACACTCGGCAAAGCCTCGGCACTCGGCAAATCGCCGGTTTCCGGTAGTGAAATCGAGTGAAGAACAACCTGAATGTTCTTTATTATTATCCACGACATGGGCTTAGGCTCTCCATTTGTGGGGCCGTGGAGAGCGAGAGATTCTGTCACGACCCCACAAATTTCAAACTGCGCGGCAGCCGGCAGCATGCGTGCATGTGCATCCTCATCCATGGCCACAGAACCAAGCAGGCAACAACGTGCGTGCATCCGCTCATGTAGGCGGAGGATCGGAGCTCCCAGATTAGCTCGCCCATGGCCGACCTGCGCGGTCCACCCGACCTTAAAAACGGCCGGCCAGCACCCACGGCACCACTGCTCTCGCTCGCTTGCTCCATCAACCGAGAAGAGGAAGAAGAGAGGTCGTCGATCGATCGGCCGGCATGCATCAGCGGACCACCATGGCTCGGCGAGCGGCGTCGGCGACAACGACGAAGCCCCTGCTCCTCCTCGTGGCGACCGTCCTGGCGTCCGCGCTCCTTGGGGCGGCGCCGGCCGCCGCGAACGCGCCCGGCGGGGCGTTCAGCAACTGGGTGGCGATGAACCAGCAGAGCTACGCGCTGTACGCGCAGAAGTCCGCCGGGGACGGGGGCAAGGAGCCCATGGACAAGAACCTGCAGGAGGCGGAGGCGAAGAAGGTGACGTACGTGGTGGACCCCAGCGGCAGCGGCGACTACCCCAACATCACGGCGGCGCTGGAGGCGATCCCGGAGAGCAACACGAAGCGCGTGATCCTGGACCTGAAGCCCGGCGCGGTGTTCCGCGAGAAGCTGTTCGTGAACATCAGCAAGCCGTTCGTGACGTTCAAGTCGGACCCGATGAACCCGGCCACCGTGATCTGGAACGACACGGCGGCGTCGCACGGCAAGGACGGCAAGCCCGTGGGCACGGTGGGGAGCGCGACGCTGGCGGTGGAGTCGGACTACTTCACGGCGTACGGCGTGGTGTTCCGGAACGACGCGCCGCTGGCGACGCCCGGCGCCAAGGGCGGGCAGGCGGTGGCGATGCGGCTGTTCGGGACCAAGGCGCAGGTCTACAACTGCACCATCGACGGCGGGCAGGACACGCTATACGACCACAAGGGCCTGCACTACTTCAAGAGCTGCCTCATCCGGGGCAGCGTCGACTTCATCTTCGGCTTCGGCAGGAGCTTCTACGAGGACTGCCGCATCGAGTCGGTGGTCAAGGAGGTGGCGGTGCTCACGGCGCAGCAGCGGACCAAGTCCATTGAGGGCGCCATCGACACCGGCTTCTCCTTCAAGAACTGCAGCATCGGCGGCGTCAAGGGCGGCCAAATCTACCTGGGCCGCGCCTGGGGGGACTCGTCCCGGGTGGTGTACGCTTACACGGAGATGGGGGAGGAGGTGGTCCCCGTCGGCTGGGACGGCTGGGAAATCGCCAAGCCGGAGAGCAGCGGCATCTACTACGGCGAGTTCAAGTGCTTTGGCCCCGGCGCCGACGTCAAGAAGAAGAAGAGGGTGGGGTGGGCGCTGGACCTCACCGAGGAGCAGGCCAAGCCCTTCGTCGGCACGCACTACATCCTCGGCGACACGTGGCTCCAGCCACCGCCTAACACCCCGTTTGGCAAGTCTCCAGCTGCTTCAAAAACAGCTTCGGCTCCAACTTCTTCAGAAACAGCCTCAGCTCCGACTTCTTCAAAAACGGCTTCGACTCCGTCTTCTTCAAACACGACTTCGGCTTCGGCTCCGGCTTCTTCAAACACGACTTCGGCTTCGGCTCTGGCTTCTTCAAACACGACTTCGGCTCCGGCTTCTTCAAACACGACTTCGGCTTTAGCTTCTACAAAAACAGCTTCGGCTCCACCTCCTCCAAAGCAGTAGCTTCTTTGAAGGAGCCAAGCCTTTTTGAAAACCGTTGGCAAGACAGCTTCTCCTATTTTTTTTTTGAGTGGATGAAAGATATGGAATGTATCTATAGTACCCCTGCTTAGTTAACTTGGTTGCACACATGATTTATATCTTTGATCTCATTTTGTATGATGTTTCTAATGAATCAAGAATAAACATGAAAATTAAGACTAATAGATAATTAGTAGTCTAGAATACCCTTCTATTTTTCTCTTTTTCTTATTTTTTCACTTTTTTTTTTTTCTTTCTGTTCCTTTTCTTTTTTTCTTTTCCTACGTAATCTGGTCGCTCGTGGTCCAACTCTTCAACCTCCCGGCCGTCCACGCTGCCGCGCCCTCTCTCTAAGTGAAAGGATAGCTGCTGCCCCTGCGCGTCCGGTGAGCCCGCGTCCGCAGTGTCCACGTGCTTGTAGCGCCATCGCTCGTCCCCCGACAACCGGCGCTCCTGCGGTGGCGGGCCCAAGCAACATGTGCTTGTGCGGTAGCGGCCCCCGGCCATCCTGTACGCGTGTGGCCCGATGGGGGGGGGGGCAAATCTGCCCGTCGTCCTGCGCTAGGACCCACAGACCAGGGTGAAGATGGTTTTCTAGCTCCCTCCCTCTGTCACACCTAATTTTAAGGATAAAATATGATGCATAAATCTTATGTGCGCCTAGAGATCAGTCGCACACATAAACTGACAAATTATAAAGTATCATCACGAGTGTTTATTATATCACGAATAATAATTCATTATAATAATATCAAGTCTATCATAAAAGCGGAAGAATTAGGTAAGTACTCCCCATGAGAGCCTCCAACTCCATAGGGATATTGACGGTGAACCACAAGTCAGTAATCCTCAGGGTAGTCCTCATAACCATTGTCATCTGTTACCCATCTAGGATTTTTATCCAAATAATAATGAAAATAAATAAGCATAAGTACATCTCGTACTCAACAAGAATAACATGGGTCTATGAAGCTTAGGAGGCTGACACGGTTTACTGCAGTTAGCATTTTAATAAGTCAAAGTTTTAACACCATATTAGCATTTAGTTGTGCTTAAGCCCCAATTAAACCACATGATCATAAACATGAATAATAGTCATCATTAGAATTATCATCATTAATAACATCATCATCAAGTGAGCAACTATTCCGTCAGTTTTCTGGGCCGCTCGTGTCCGTGAGCACGGCTGATATACTAGTTTTTAATACTCTGCAGAGTTTGTACACTTTCACCGCGAGCCATGATTTACCCTTTAACCTGAGGTAACTAGTCTCTTAACCCCCTTTCTAGAGAGGTCGGTAGGGTTCACTATGAAGCATTTCAAAGGTTTTCTTAACAAATTAGTAGCCGCTAGGTTTCCTTGGCACGGGAATACAGAGCCTCCCCTTCCGAATAGCATATTCCGCGTAGGCTATACACATAGGGACAGAGGTCGTACTATGCTTAGCTCGGTAGGCCCCATTTGCGCCTTTTTGGTTAACCACTAACAAGCTAGAAAATGTCCTGGTACTGAGTTAAAGCCAGAGCCATGTGGCACTCCCGGGTGTACTGTATGTCCCCAGCTTTTGCCAACAGATAAGTTTTTAGGGAGGGCTAAGAGCATCTTGTACAAAAGCCAATTGCTATCTCGCCCTATAGTCTAGTTGCTAAGAGCAAGTTTTACCATTCGTTCTATATAATCATCAGTCATCATTCAGATCATGGATATTTAAATTGAGCGCTAGCAACTACCGATATGCAGGTATAACCCATCTGTAATCAAGGTACAAGGTAACAACATCTAGAAGATCCTTACGGGTATCAAATTAGACACATGCACATGTCTAAATAATTAAATGGTGAATAGGATAAGGAGATCCCATGGTATACTTGCCTTGCTCAAAGTTTCCCTGCTGGTCCTGGTTGTCAAAGTAGTACTCCTGATCAGCCACAAATTGTTCACCGTTTATACTCGATCAACACATCAACATACAGGCATCCGCGAGCAATCATGCATAGCAACAAGGACTACATATTAGAACAGTACACAAACATAGATAAAACAAGATAAAAGGTTTATAAAACAAATCTACATCTCACTATGAACACACAGACGCAAAGATCACGAAAATCGGAGAATGTTATGACTTAAACAAGATTTCCTATAGTAGTTTAATAGATTAAATCTAACCACGAATTTCAAGAATGTAAAACATGATTAATAGTGTAATAAACATGTAGATTACTTAATTACGAATCTAATGCAACTTGAATGGATCAAATCGGATCTAAAACGGGTGAAATATGGCGAAAATGGGATCTAGATGGCAACCTTGTAAATAACGCGAACTTAAACGAATTAAAATTAATCAAAATTCGGGTTTTTAATCCGGCCGAGGATAGCGGGCATAAATAGTGAAAAACCGAGGGGCTCTTTAACAAATTTGCAACGCGAAGGGGTATGGATGAATCTGATCCATTGTATCCGACCTGGACGGACTAGATTAGAACGGAGAGAGAGAGGAAGATCGCCTGCCGGAACAGGAGGCGGCGCGGCCATGGCCGATGGCGAGAAGGTCGCCGATGCGAGCGAAAAGGGCCCTACGGGCCACGGTTTGACGAAACCAAGGGCATGGGGATGAAGCGGGGACGATGGCGATCACGCCTAGGCCCTTTACGTGGTCGGGGAACAGCCCGCGCGGTGACCGCCATGGCCGGTGGTGAAAAGAGCTCATCGGCATGCGCGGAAACAGCCCTAGTGGCCACGGTTCGACTCGGAAATCGCACGGGATGGAAGAGGGGGAAATGGGGATTCTCACCGCGGATGGAAATGAAGGCACGACGGATCGGAGACGGCCCGCGGCTTGGAATGGCGAACGATGGTTTCCTGCAAACATCGGTGACGTTTAAGGATCAACCAAAAGCGAGAAAAAGAAAGGGAAAAAGGCTCGGCGACTTCGCAAAATCGAAGTGAAGCACAGCAGCAGACTTACGGAGGCGATGGAACACCAGAACGTCAAGGCCCGAGCTCGGCGGCGCGAGCTAGGGTTGCGGCGGTGCTGCAAGCTCTGTGCGAGGCGGTGTCGCGCGTAGATGGGAAAGGAGTGCGAAGGGAGGGGGGGTGGCTCTTATAGAGCAGCTTGGCATGGAAATCGCGTCGAACCACGGAGAACACGGGAGCGGGTGACGGGATATGGTTCAACGGCGTCGAGATAAGGGAGCGATCCTCCCATTTTCGGCAGGAGGTTGGGGATGGCGCCGACAAGCGGGCCCGGTGTGCCAGCGAGCCAAGGCGGGAGGGTGGAGGTGGCGCGCGTTTGCATGGCGTGGGGAACGGTTGAGCTGGCCCAAGAAGGAAAGGGCACGCGGCGGAGCTGCTCCAGAAGCGCTACCAAACGGCCCCCTAAGTAGCGTACCAACAAGGCAACAATGAACAATAAATTATTTGGCCGGGCTGGTGACATGACTCAATGTCATTTCTCAGGGCATGCTTGGTGCTTTTGTTGGGACTGTTTTGCTAGGCGAGCAAGAAACTAGGTTCAGCTAGTTGTTTGGATCATATACCTAGCTATCCCGAGAAAGCCAAATCGTCTCGCTTGGCTAGGCAAGCATCTCGTGGCTTGAGCCATCTACAGAAGGTGAGGTGGTGTCGATGCGGGACCCACAGGATACCCCGCAAGAGAGAGAGAAGATCTAGTTCAACTAGGATTCTTCTCATGTAATCTTAGTAATAGAACTATTAAGTAATCCTACTAGGAAATCTCATTGTAAACCGATTAGGACTCTGGCCTCCTGACTATATAAAGGAGGGCAGGGCTCCTGAAAGAGAACAATGGTACAACATAACACTTCATAATCAATCCAACGCAAAAGGCAAACGTCGACTGGACGTAGGGTCGTTACTCGATCTACGATCGAGGGCCTAAACCAGGATAAATCGATTGTCTCTTGCGTTCACCATCGAGTTCAGCATACGCCGAAACCCGAACGATACTGCCACGGTACCCCTGTGGTAGGCTATCGGTGGTAAAACATCGACAGCTGGCGCGCCAGGTAAGGGCTTTCGGCGACTTTGCATCCAAGACCTCGATGGACCTCAATAACATGATCTTCCCGACGGGATCGATTTTCATCTTCGGCTCATGGATCTGCGAGGCGGACAACTACGGCAAGCTTCAAAGCCATCTCCTCAAAGATCCGGATCATCATGAAGAATCCCCTATTTCGACAACTACGACGGATCAGCTCACCAGAAGATTCGCGCAGCCCATAATACCCGATTCGAATAAGATTCCACGGCTACACGCATCCGACTTGAATTCAAGCTCTGTATCCGAGATGAAGTCTTATTCGAGTGCTTTCAAGAAATCGAGTTCCTTTTTGACAAGATTCCAGAGCACAACCCAAAACAACTCGGATTATCCACAGAATTCTTTCAAAAGGCTGAGTTCTTTTCCATTTGGGCTCGACAACACGACAAAATCCTATCAGGGACAGTTTGAAAGGTCTTTCAAATCAACACTTGGGATACCACTGACAGGAGCTCAGGAGGGTCTCGTACTAACGATAACATCGCAAGACTGTATCATCCACTAGCCAGGATCCGTTCCTGAGGATAGCGGAACCCAACTAGTCGGCACAACAACAACAGCTATTCTACCTTACCAAGAAGGAGACTCGATCTACGACGTCGAGGCGCCTACTAAAGTCATCAGCAACTCCGACAGTATGAAAACTAACACCAAT